GGGTAGCTTTGCGCCTTTCCTGGAACTCACTTTGTAGACCAGGCTGGTCTTGAACTCACAGAGATCCACCTGCCTCTGCCTCCCTCCCGAGTGCTGGGATTAAAGGCGTGCGCCACCACCACCCGGCTAAAATGAGGACAGCAATCAAGCAAGCAAGTACCCCCAAAGAGACTCAGAGACCAAGACTCAAGGTGCTTGCTGCCAAGCCTGCAGGAACCTAATATTCACTACACTTGCCAACACAGACTCCTGCACATACAAAAGAAAAGTAAAAATGTTTAGTAAAATAAGCTCAGGAAATCAACCATTTAATAGTGCCCAACAGCTCAAGTGGAAGTGTTCAGATCTGGTGTTGATTCTATTTAACTTTCTACACAGAAAGTAACTCTTTAAACTTCCAAGAAGGTTGCACTGTACCTTTATGGAAGGATCCTGCCACTTAGCCCAGGCTGGCCTGGAACTCATGATCCTCCGGAATACCTGGATTACAAATATGCCACCATAGCTGGCTCAAAACCCCCTTTTCATATTCTAACAAACAAAGAAGGCAAGCTAAGACTGGAGAAATTCCCCATTCAAGGCTAGCCTAGGCTACATACATCCATGGGAAACCTTATCTTAAAAAAGGTCGGTGGTGTGTGAAATCGGGAGGGTACAGACAAAGTAAGACTGTGTTAAAAAGCACTGAAGTTGGGTAACAGATCAGATGTTCATTATACTATTATTCTCTTTACTATCCTTCAAAGTTGCTTGCCTGTTGTGGTGGCCAAGCCTCTAGTCCTAGTTCTTAGAAGACACAAGAATCATCAGCAACATATCAAGTCAAGGCCATTCAGGGCTACATAAATGAGATCATGCTCCCAAAACAAAGGGGGGAAAAAAAAGAGGAAAAATCAAGTAAACTCAAGGCTAGCCAGATCTACAGTGACCTCCATGCCAGCCATGGATACATAGGAGAACCATCTCAAAAAACTCCTCCTCTAGAGACACACAAAGAAAATTCCTTTAGTAAATACTTAAAAAATAGAAGGTAGGGGGCTGGAGATTGCTCAGTGGTTAATCACACTGGGCTCAATCCCCAGCACCCACAAGGCAGCTCACAATTGTCTGTAACTCTGTTTCAGGGGATCTGACACCCTCACACGGAAACACATGCAGGCAAAACACCAATGCACATAAAATAAAAATAAGTAACAGCCCCATCTCAAAATCCCCAAACCCCAGCCTACAGGGGGTAGAAACAAAACAACACAATATAACCCAAACACATCCCTCTCATTGGGTTTGTCAAAAGCTCACATTCTGGCTTTCCCATTATCTATGTATATTTCACTTTCCTAAATGACACCCACCAAGCCCAAGCGCTTACCCAGCATTCCGCCAGCCACCAGGATGTCAAAGAGTGTCTCTGCATAGCGCCGGTAGTCAAGCTTTGCTCCAGAAGCATCAAGAAACTTAGCTACTGCTTCCAAATCAGTACCGGTTTCAGTTAAGCCTTGAATAATACAGTCTTGAAACTGAGTAGGGTCAAACCTCTCTTTTTCATCTGGGGGGAAAAAACAAAAAGTTATCACAGATGGAACACCAGCACCTTATGAAGCTAAGTTAACCAAATTACTGAGCTTCATTTAATTCAACAGCCGGAAAAAGGTAAGTACCCAAGACTTGGAACAAGTAAGCTTGACAGGAGAAAGATGTGTGTTGTGTCGTGCCGCCGCCCCCCCCTGCAGGATGCCCTATCTGGTCAACACCACGGGCCTGCTGCACTTCCGCAAGCTGGATGCATAGGGCTTCCTGCTTCCACTGTCGCCAGACTGCTCTGATGAACACTAACCTATGCCAGCCACGGTGACACACGCCTTTCATCCCAGCACTGGAAAGGCAGAGGCAGGTGGATCGAGTTCCAGGCCAGCCTGGTCTACCTAGTGAGATCCTGTCTCTAAAGCAAATAAAAACAAACCCCCTTAACGCTAACCTTTCTATAGCCTGTATACTTTACTCCTCTGAAAATCGGCACTCAAGTTCCCCTTCCCCTAGACAGAGTTATAGGTTGGTTATCTGCCTAACCTCGCATTTCCAATTGCTACAGAACTGGGTACAGAATCCAGTCTCCCATGCTCTGCCAGAGCTACTGAGCTACAATCTAGCCCCAGTTTGATAAGGTTGATACAGAGTATCTTTCTAACTTGTATCCATCTCTTTTTTTCATATTTATTTATTTATTATGTATACAGCATGTATGACTGCAGGCCAGAAGAGGGCACCAGATCTCATTACAGATGGCTGTGAGCCACCATGTGGTTGCTGGGAACTGAACTCAGGACCTCTGGAAGAGCAGTCAGTGCTCTTAACCTCTGAGCCATCTCTCCAGCCCCCTAACTTGTATCCATCTTATCAAGATAGTCTCTCACTGGACCTAGAGCTCACTGATTTTCCTAGACTGGCTGGCCAGCAGGTTTCAGGGGTCCTCCTGCCTCTGCCTCACCCATGCTGACTCACAGACATGAGCTACTATGCACGGCTTTCACGTGGGCACAGGGATCGAATGCAGGTCTCCATGCTTGTGGGCAGCCGTCCTACTCGGTTATCTCTGCAGTCCCTTCTTAGCTCTGAGCAAGTCTCACTTGTCAGGGCGGCTGAAAACTCACCGGGACTTTCAGTTTATGATCCTTCAGCATCCGCAGCTAAAGCTCTGCTACAGGCTTTGTACGTGCCAGACAGGTGCTCTACCAAACTACATCTCCAGTCCTGGAGACAGGCTCTCTACCAAACTGCATCTCCAGTCCTGGAGACAGGCTCTCTACTAGCCCTGGCTGTCGTGGAACCCATTATGTAGACCAGGCTGGCCTTGAACTCAGAGATCTGCCTGGCTCTATCTTCAGAGTACTAGGATTAAAGGCCTGGGCCACCACTGCCTGGCTGTTTTTGTTTTTCTGAGACACAGTCTCTGCTCTGTGGCTATATGTGTGGCCACACTACTTTTTAAGTTTTTGGTGGATCTTTCCTCTTTCTTTTTCTTTTTTTAATTTTTTTTTTTTTTATTTCATGTGCATTGGTGTTGGGTCTCCTGGAACTGAAATTACAGACAGTTGTGAGCTGCCATGTGGGTGCTGGGAATTGAACCCAGGTCCTCTGGAAGAGCAGTCAGTGCTCTTAACCACTGAACCACTCTCCAGTCCCCCTTCCTCTTTCTTTTATGTGCACAACACTGACTTTTCTTTTCAATGTAACTACTCATCTGGCTTTAAACCCAGCAATAACCTTATGAGGTCCATCTTTTTTGTTCCCATCTTTTCAGAGAGGAAACAGAATCAGAAAAATTACATAACCACAAGACTATATTGGCTAATAGTTCAGAGCATGCACCCTGAAGTCAAAACACTTGATCGTTGGGCCGGGCATGGTGACACACACCTTTAATCCCAGCACTGCAGAGGCAGAAGGATATGTGGGCTTGAGGCCAGCCTGGTATACAGTGAATTCCGGGACAGGCAGGGCTATGCAGAGACCATGGCCCCAAACAAACAAAACCCACCAGAATGAAATCCTGATTTCCACTACACCCTGTGCATGTGTGCCCAGAGCCTGAGGAGGCCAGAAGTGTATCCCCTGAAACTGGAGGTGCAAGCAGATCTGAGCGGCCTTATGTGGGTGCTGGGAATCAAATAGATACTCTGCAAGAACAGCAAGTGCTCTGAATTGCTGAACCATCTCTTCCAGGCCCAGACCAGCCAATATCTACATTTCTGTGAGTATTAACTAATACAAAGTAGAAAGCACAGCTGTTCCTGAACTGTCCAACCCTCACACTCTCCAGGCCTCCCCCAGATAGGCAAGTGTCCTGCCACTCATGTGCACCTCCAGCCCTTTGATGTCTTGCTTTGCCAATTTATGTTCGATGATATTTGAATTTTCACAATTGTCAGCTGAGGCCATACAATACCTAATTTTTTTACACACTACTAGAGAGAGAAATTATTTTTTTCCAGGATTTTCCTGAAAGTCCTGCCTTCAAAACTCCCTTAGGTCCAGGCAAACACGGATGATTATACCCTGAACCAGGAGGCCCTAAGAGATCCCCCCGTTACTTTTTTTGAGGGATGGGGAGGAGGAGAGGGGGCTTAAAGACAGGGTCTTCTGTATCCTAGGCTGGTCCAGTTAACTGATGGTAACTCTTCTGCCTCAGTCTTATGGGCACTCCATTATAGGCATATGCCACACTACACCAGGCATGAATGATCTTTATCTGGATTTAAGGAAGTGGCAACTCCCAGATGCTAACAATAAAAGTTATTTGTTACTATCAATTATATCAAAATGATGCTAGGAATCTACAAACTCCAAGAATACAAATTTTTCACTATTGATAAATTGCTTTAAAGAACATTTATTGGCTAAATCTACACCTACAAAGACTAGAACAAGGGATACTTTGGTTTTATCACAAGGGGACAGAGTATGGAGAACACACAAAAAATTATTGCATGTGAAACTGCCTATGAAAGGTAGAAAACCAGAAACAACCTAAGACCAATCTCACTACATAGCTCTAGCTGGTCTACAACTCACTAAATAGACTTCCATTTTCTGGGCTCTCCACTGCTAGAATTAAAGATGTGTGCCACCATGCCTGGCTAATGTGTGTGTCCAAAGAATATCACTTCAACTTTTTTTCTGTTTTGGTTTTTCAAGACAGGGTTTGTCTGGGTAGCCCTGGCTGTTCTGGAACTCATCTGTAGACCAGGCTGGCCTTGAACTCAGAGATCTGCCTGCCTCTATCTCCCGAGTGCTGGGATTAAAGAGAATCCTATCTTCAATCCCCAGATTGGATTGCCAGTAGGAGCTCATGCCTTTAATCCCAGCACTTGGGAGGTCACTGGAGGCCAGCCTGAGCTATAATCTAAAACCCTTAAAAAAAAAAAATTACAATGTGAACCGTATTTTACAATTTTGTAAGTTAAAATCTGATTTTTCTCCCACACATCTTTTCTAAAACCTAGAGCATGTTATACTCTATCAATGAGCCCCTCTTTCACAGATCTCCACAAAATCTTGTTGAAATTAGCGATTTTAGGGGTGTCCCCCTTTCTTTTAGCCTTCTTCCTCCAAACAAACTCTGGTGCACACCTTTAATCCCAGGACTCAGGAAGCAGCCAGGAAGATCTCCGTGAGTTCAAGGCCAGCCTAGTCTACAAAGTGAGTTCCAGGACAACCTACCAATCTAAAACCACACCTTTTTATCTTCGCCACTGGAGTTCACACTAAAGGACTACTGATACTAAAAAGTAAAGACCGGAGAAAACAGTAGAAACACTAAGCGAGCTATCTGAAATAGCAGTCAGCTAGAAGCCCACGTTTCTGTTATTTTCTCTCCAGGGGTTAGTAACATGCAGCTGACTGTGAGAGAAACCAAGATAGATGCAAAATGTCTGAAAGCTTAAGGGAGATGAACAAATACTTACCTCTTTTTCTGGTTTTAAAACGCTGGCCTGATAGCGTTGGTTTTTGCTGCTTTTGATTATTCATAAAAGACACCCTAGGGAAGAGAAATAGGGCCTTAAAAATGCATCTTCGCCAGTAACATTAACTTCTAAAACACAGTATCAAACCTTAAGCCAAAAAAAAAAAATCACAACTAATCAAACCGAGCACACACTTTCAGTTCACCGGCAACAGAGCCAGCCGGTGCGGGTCCCCTCCTACAAGAACCCCTTTAACGAAGTCCCGGAACTACACCCTGATATGACACTACACCGTCACCCTGTATGGTGGTGGCACATCGCCTATCACGAGCCTGTTTGCTCAGCCTCGTCTACACTTCCCTGTGCAGCGCCCGCGTCTTCTAAGTCACCAGAACTCGGCGGACTCTCACGGGCCACGAGCTCTCGGCCCAAGGGAACCCATCCATCCATCCCCTCCTCCACTGCACCGTCCCTTCACTCCGGAGCGGCGCGCCTTGGAGCTTGCACCCTTCCAAAAGCTGCAAAAACGGGGAGCCGGCCGCACTCGCTCCAGCCCGAGCAAGCTGCCTCCTCCTCCTCTTCCTCCTCCCCGGCTGGGCACGTGTCTCCGCATCCACACCCTTCCCCGTGCCTCCCGCCTGGGCAGGGGCACCCCCCACCCCACCCCACCCCACCCCACCCCGAGGGGCCTCGCCGGGTCCCACACCGCGCCCGCGGGCCCTTCCTCCACCGACCCTGTCGCCTGGGGTGGTGGCCGCCGCGCCG